AAGACTGAACTTGAAAAGAGTTCATTCTATGTTACTCTCTGTGTTCATAAAGTTGTTTCATAAAAAAAAGAAAAATAAGGAATTAGAATGAGGACACTCCAGTTTTTAAAACCCATAGGCCTGACACTGATTGCTATTCATAAATCTATCCCCAGTGAAGAGCTCTGTGCATGCATTGGAATGTATTTTACTACATGACAACAAGTGCTGTGCATTGATCGACTCTCTATATATTGCCTCATAAACACTTGCCACTTAATAACTGGTTAAAACAGGTGTACAAAGAGCTTTTTTTGAATTCTGCCACATTTAGGAACATTCAGCTGTAATATCAACTGATAATGCATACAGGCAGACAGCTGTGTGTGATGAAATCTGGAGCTGCAACACAAACATAGGGCCATTGATTTTCACAGCCTTTTTCACTCAAAAAAAAAAAATCTGATTAATGTACATCAGTTCTCAAAGTCTGTTTATAATATATATGAAATGATAAGGGAGAGAGAAGAGATGCAAACATAATTCTAATTGCTTTACTTCTTTAGAGGTCAAAAGCAAGCCAAGAAAATCAATCTCCATTTGTGTAGTAGAAGCTGAAACATACAGTTCATTATTCACAACTATTAAAATAGTCAATCAAAACATTTTGCCATGTAGATGACTAGAAAAAGCTATCTCGTATTTTTGAATAATGATATATTTCAAAACAGCAAAGCATTTCACAAAACGAATTTCAGAAACAATTATGCAATTAAGAATCTATATTTTTATAGTAAGGCAAGTGATAATAGCTATATGATGGATGAATATCAAACTCTGATAACAGTTCCAAGAACATGGTATTATTCCTGTTGAAATCACTGAGCATTTTACACTAAGTTCAATAAAAATATCCAAATAGTATTTATACTTAAGAAAGAATCAGAAGGCAGGACAAGACCCTAGCATTTGTACAGGATGATTTGAATATCCCTGTAATCTCTGACAGAAAGAGAAACAAATGTTGCCGATGACTTTCCCATTCTTACTTTTCATCAGATCCGGCAAGGAACACTCAAACCTAAGAACAAGTAGCAAATACATCATAGCAAAATAAATAAGTAAGTAAATAAGACAAAGGAAATAAAGAAATAAATCAGTAATTTTGAGATTAGATCTAGATTATGACTACCCACAGAATTGTGAGTTGACAACAATCAGTTGAGTACATGGTGATTGAAACCGTAAGCTCCTTCACAGCCCTAATCTCAACCGCATCTCACACAAGAATTTCAGTGGCCACTAAAATATACTGCAAGCACCAGTGTCAGAGATGAGCTCTACCTCATCCACCTGTTCTAACCTGGGAAGATCCAAATCCATTTACTTTAATAAATTGAAGAGAGAAAGTCCTCATGAAAAAAATCAGCCCTTAGCTCCTACTCCTCTAGATTCATTACAAATCTCTGTGCCATCCCTTATGGCCAGCTTCAGCTAATTACTGAAGATAAAGCTCACAACTGCAAATGACAGCAACAACCATATCAGAAGTGCACAATGAAGGAAAGCTTTGCTTCCCTATTACGTATCTCCTCTTCATAATGAATAGGTATATCACCTGCTACATCAGCCTCTGAAGATAGACAGGTGTTTCCCTCTAGAAAATGACTGCATGTGCAAATTTCACTAACAGCACCTCCACTGCATTCCCTGGTGTAGATTAGAGCAGTATATTTGAGGTGTAATCTATTTTTTTTTCCTTAATGTGTGCTTTGTTTTTCTGATCTGCGACAGGAATACACAAAAATCAGGTTAGCCTCAGTGGCAAAAAGGCTTTGGGACTTCTCCAGTTGTGGCAGGTGAAACTAGGTAAATACAGAAGGTTAGCTGCGTTGTCATGCTGAGCCAATGTCACAGAAGCCTGTCAGAGGAACATGTTGATGCAGCAGACTTAAATTGGGATTCAACCCACCCACATTCAATTCACATGCTGGAAACCTGAATTGAAAGCACAGCCATGAGAAGGGCTATGAAAGACTGCATGCTAAACCCATCTGACACTTATTTTTTGCTACAACTCCTTAACTTTTTAACAATGCATGCAAGCAAAGCTGGCAATGACTACTGGTAAGGAATACTGGCAACGTTTGTGGTGGCTCAGGCACAAGGACCAGTGCTAAGTTACAAGCATGAAAAAACGGTGCTTATCTGAGAAATCCAGCGTGAAGAACTCAGAACAGACTACAGTTGTTTTATGAATATATATATATATATATATATTTAAGACTAATTGAAATAACATACTCATCTGGGTTGGACTGACAAGCAAAACCTTATTGAACTGTTGATAATGTTTAATTTTGCTTACAGGGCTTTCTGTCAGTTGATGCAAGTTATGCCTGACAAGCCAAACAGCACATCTGAGCAAATACAGGGGGAAAAAATAAAAAAATAAAAAAATCAGGAAAGAAATGTAGTATCTTACCCTGAAATCTCTGAATCAAGTCAATACCTTCTCTATTAAAAGGATTTGCATAGTATTAAAATAAAAATGCCTGCCATAAAGTTGAGTGCGCTGTACTTTGGAAATCTCTAATTGAAAAAGGTACAAGCAAACTGTGATACAGCACATTAGAGAGAATGCTTGAATAGCATTACAGTAAATGGTACAACAGACATTCTCTAGTTTTTAAAATTAAGAACTACACATAATTTAAACTTAACTATAAGTATGTGGAAAAGTTTCAAATCAAAGATAAAGAAAATATCTGAAGATAAAGGGTTTTGATCAGTATCTTAGAAGTCATTGCTTTGTAATTTTATCCTTAAAGACCTCATGTCTTACCTTCCCCCTTTCAAGTTCCTAACAGAAAAAGAAAGGTTTCTTTTTTCTACTAGATTCTGTGAAAGCTTGGTTCTTTGGCCATGTAACAGAATAATAATTTCTCTATAAATGAAAGTCTAGAGCAGCATGTTCTTTAATTCAGTGACGAGGACCTTCATTAGATTATCTCATAGCTATTGGAGAAGATACTGCAAAAGCCAAATGATACATCATTAAATTATGTTTTCTTTCTCTTGAGGCAAAGAGCGAGTACAGCGTTTGATTAATTTGAAAAACCAAAAAGAAAATAAAAGTTCCGTAATTTGTATCAGAAGTGACAAAGCTGACACTATTTTTAAAACCCATTTATTTATAGAATCAACTATAAGCAGTTAATTATATTAATTGTGTAAATCGCCACTGTAATACATAGCCCAAATTAATTCAAATCAGTGCATGCTTCACTGTTTCATGATCTCCCTTGCACATGCTTAGTGAAAGCCTGCCACTCTGCAACAGAGGAAGGAATTGCTACAACAAAACCAGAGATGCACTTTGTTTAAAATTGTACTTTGTTGATATGACACAGAAGCTGTTTAAAGTAATGGATTGATTCGTGTCCCAATATTTTTCAATAGTTATTCTAATTGTGTTTCATAGTACCTTCAGGCAGTCAGAAATACAAACCACAGGAAAGCTCTCCTGAAATTGCACTGAAACAAATGACATTCCCCTTTGCCTGCTTATCCACAGGGAGCTCCATCCACTGTTATAGGAAAGGTTTACTTTATCTTTCTGCTATAAACTTGAGTTAGTTACTTGTCCACAGTACTGGCAAGTCAACAGCTTTTAATGCAGTTAGCATCGCATCTATGTAAAAACATCTGTTGTAGCCCATTAGAAGATCTGTTCCTGTCAGCAAATCAACGTGCCTTAACCTGAAGAGCTCAGAGATTGTCCCCAAACATCTTTTGCGAGAGGTCTCCCTCATTAGAAAAAGAAATATCCCAGACTCCTCAGATGTTCAGACATGCTGACATTTCTGCACGAGCTTCCAAGACTGTAACTTATACTTTCATTCCTGTAAGTGAGCTATTTCCCCAAGCCTGTACACACACCATGCCCAGTGCCTCTCAACCGTCTTCAACTTGGCGCTGCCAGAGCTCTTAGTGAAGTGTCAGAGCTGAACTATAAATCTGTGTAACTGCTTTTATTCTGCGATGCTCCCATGTTCGAACACAACATACATCAAGGTCACTGTACACGATTGTAGTTTTCAGGCTCAGAAAGAAGATGCTAAGAAAATCAATAGCAGCAAACTTAATTAAACACAGTCTGAAGTTCTGTGTGCTCCCAAACTGGCATAGAAAACATGTCTCTAGACCCTGCATTTCAGAGGCAGGGGATATATTGTAGATAGGGGAATGCAGGCTGTTAGCTTATACACTATCTGTGCTGAACGGTGAACAGGAGGGCTCATTCTCTGCAGCGTGACAGGTCTGTTCAGAGCTCTTTGAGGTTTTAGCAGGAGATTATATACTCATGGGCCTGCTCCTGTGGAGTTCCTCAGGGGCAGAATCAGCCTCCTGCCTGCTGCCCATGTCCTGCATCCTGAGCACGTCACAGTCAACTTTCTGTTTCATGGCATTGCCAAGTATGATAATAGGTAGCCACAGGTAAAAGCAAACAAACAAACAAGATCGAGTAAACCATACTTCACAGCAAAAGCACCTCAAAGGAAATCTCCAGGTAGGACATCAGAAAGTTAAAGGCATCAAAATCAAAACTCCAGCTTCACTAGCTTAATCCCTGGCAGGATCTGAAATGCTCATACGCAGTCCTGCTGCTGCCAGAAAACAATTAAGAGTCTCCTACAATAGAGTTACAGCCCAGCACAAAGAAAAAGACATTTCACACCAATTCCTATAAGTCACCATTTGTTGCAGCTACACGCAGGCACCCCGCACGCAGTTCTCCCCCAGTGCCACTGCGCAGCGCGTACCGTTGGGATGCGGGACCGTGCTCCCCTGCAGCCCAGCCCAGCCCGCACCTACCCGCCGAGAGACTGAACTCCAAACCCGGCGCAGGCAACCAATAGCTGCAAGAAGCAGTCACTCGAGATGCAGGAAAAAGCCAGGGAAAATAAATAAATAAGCAAATAAAATACAAACATCAAAGAAAGAAAAGGAGCGCTTACTTGCCTGTACACGACCGCCGGGCGACCTCCTCTCAGCTGGTGAAACGGGGTGCCGCCGCTCGTCCTCCTCGGACCGCTCCGTGCTATTTCCAAAATATTTCCCCCGGGCGCCGGCACATCTCCGGGCTCACTCGGAGCGCGCAGAGAGCCCGTCCGCCTCGCCCTCGAGCCCGGTGCCCATGGTGCCAGCCGCAGCCCCGGCCACTCGCGCCCCTTCCCTCCGGCGCTCCCTCGGGGGCTAACACGGCATCGCACCGAGCTGCCGCTGCCGGCTCCAACTCCGCCGCCGAGCCGAGGGGCAACGAGGGTCTCCCCGCGCCCTTCCCGGAGACGGAGCGGGGTCGCCGGGCGGGGGAGTGCAGGGAGGCAGCGCCGCCCCTCCGCGGCGGCGAGCGGCCAGGCGAGGCGAGGCGAGGAGAGGCGAGGCGGCGCGCCGCCGCCACCGCGGCCGCAGCCCGCCGCGGCGATGCCGGCCCCGCCCGGGACCCTCGCCCGCAGCTCCCGGGGCGCTTTGTGACGCCGCCCCACCTCTGTGACGCGCTGCCCTCCCCCGGGCCGGCCCCCGTGGTGGAGCTGGAGCTGCCAGGACGCGTGGAAGCCGCGCGCAGTGTTCGGAGAGAGGGTGCTGCCCACCTCCCGCCTGCCCGCTTCAAACTTCCCGTGCAGTTTCTCCTAAGCAGGTACAGAGCGCCCGCTTGCCGGAGAGAAAACACATCGATCCCCATCTCAGTGTTGTGCTGGGTTTATGAATCTCACAGAGTCGCAGTCGGCCCGGTGGCATCCCCGCTCACCGGAGTCAGCCTCTGCCTCACGGCCCCCGCATAGAGCTCAACGCGGGGCGGCTGCCGCACACGCTCCCGGGGCGGAGGCGGCACAAATAAACCCTGGGAGAGAGACACGGAACCCGAGGGAAGCTGCCTCTGCGTGCTGGCTGCGGGCGCGGGGGAGGAATCGCGGCGCCGCCCCTCCGCGGTTTGGAGCCTAGGCGGCCGTCGGGGGTCTGTGCCAGGCGGGGTGGTGAGGGCAGCTGTGGCTATATCCGCGTCCACGTGTTGAGCTGAAGCCGAGAGGAGGGTGGTCAAAATTTGAAGCCGGGTAAACGGAGCTTAAGCGTAGTTTTTCCGCAACTGATCTGCTCGCCCTTTTCGACTCAGCTTGTTTCTTAGGCACTGTGGAATAAAAAGTAATTCCTTTAGGAATCTTGTGGTGGTCTTTTTCCACAGAGCTGGTGCGAATAAAAATGTTTGTGTTCCTTATGAATCGCTTTTATAAATATTAACTTCAATAAAGTGCAGTGAGCCATTGAGGGGGAAAAGGATTTTAAAAGCTTCGTGCAGGATACATGCAGATAATAGAGTTGCTCTGAAGAATGTAGTTAAGTGTTGACTTGATAAATGCATGAGAATATGCAGTGATAGGTTTCATGCCTAATTGAACAGATTTGTACTTCAGTTCTCATCTAGAGATACAGATCCTTATTTTTTCCTCTTTCTTAATACTGATTGATGTTAACAGAGTTCTTGATAGCTACGAGCCAACCAAGTTATCTGCCCTACTGTGGCTCTGCTGAAAGATTGAGTGGTGTGAACTGACAGTTCTCCTGACAAGACTGGAAAGAAATGACTACAACAATACATATATTAGAGTTGGGATAATTTAAACACGTCTTAGAATTGAAATAACTGAAATGTAATTGATTGAAAACTCTTCCATGCCAAACACAGAAGCAGAACTGTAACCCTCTGCTCACACACTGTGGAGATGATCAGAACAGCACAGTGCTTAAGCCAAGTGAGTGTTAACTAATAGAACCAGTCCCACGCTCAATTTCCAATTCCTTCTTCCTGAAGACCCATCTCTTGTCTATGTCACAATGGAGAGTAAGACAGTCTTTGTAAGCAAGAAAGATCCATTTTTACAAGAGAATGGTGTTAAAATTGTCATCGCCAAGATCTTTCAAATTCTTCCTATGTTTATTAGAGCACATATGTGCCAGCTACAACTTTTTGCAGTTGATATGTGCTAAAGATGAAGTCTTTATTTACTTTATTTACTTTATATTTACTTTATTATTATTATTATTATTATTTTTTATTTTTTTTTTATATTTACTTTTATTTACTTTAGAGTTCATCTAAAGATGAACTCTAACAAACCACATGAACAGTGGGCATTTTTTAATCATTGTAAAGCTGATGGCACATGATTGTATGAAATATGTGTGGCTGTCAGTTTTACACAAGATTAAAAAGTTAGGTTTGTATTGCATTGTTGCTTCAGGCAGTGCAAACACAAGGCAGAATACTTACATCAGCAGAAAGCATATTTCAGGACAAGAGCATGATTGAACATTAAAAATCAGAGTGGGTGAGCCAGAATTGCTTTTGTGTCATCTGGGTGATTTTCATTAAGAAGTGTTGGATAACAAGCTGGTAGTGGGCTGCCATCTGTGGTAGATTCTGCAGCATTAGCAAACTGACACCACTCAAGTTCCTAACATGGATGGAGTGACAAAAGAGAAGCAGTGTTAAAAGATGGAGTGGGGGTTAAGCATGAAGCTGAGAGGAGGGTGGTCAAAATTTGAAGCCAGATAAACGGAGCTGTTTAAAAAAGAAAGAAAAAAAAAAAAGAGGAAATGGAAGTAAGAATGTCACCCAACAAGAAAGCAAATCATATCCTCTGTTAAATTATATCGACTATCTACGAGAGATCATTTGTCCTCTTTTCATTTAGCAACATTATTACAGCACCCAATCTTTTTTTTTTTTTTTTTTTCCCTAGCTAAAGTATGTAAAGTACACTTTGATTGTAGGTGGTGATTCTTACATTTTCCAATCAGCACTGGTGCATATGGCCATCAGCACCTTACTGGGGAAGGTCTGAAATTCAAAGAGGTGAAAACTAAGACTTTTGAAAAAGTGCAGGGGGAAAAACTACTCTACTGATGGAAAGTTAAGAGGAACATATATGAAAAGATGTTGTAGATGATTTGAAGAGTGATGGGAAGGCCTTTGTATCCAAAATCACTGCAGCAGTTTGTTTTCACTCACGTAGCAGGTCCCAGAACATCTGAACATCACAGTTACCTATTCTTTCCTTGACAGAGCCTAGTTCATTGCTAATTTGAAGTCATCAGCAATATCAAATACACTAGTCTGCAAATGAAGGCATAAAATAAGGCATGGTTGATCTTCATTGACAAATACTCTTTTAGAATTACAAAGATGCATTTTTAGTTCTTAAATAATAACAAATCTTGTTCCTGTGAAAATATTAAAAGGACATGATCAGTCTGTGAACTGACCTTCTTAAACAGAATATCAAACCAAAGGAAGTTAAAGTCTCAGTACTGATGGGGTTTTTGTGGACTCTATCAGAACAGAATTAATTTCTTTTCAATACTCCCTTTTGGAAAAGAGCAAGCAGAAATGCAAATGTAACTCTCACAGCAGGTATTGCAGGTTGGATAATAAGAAGGTCACAAAGTCATCTATGAGCATCTAACTCTTGCTGTTTCCAGTACTGAAATATAAAAGCCCATTTTCTGATGACCTTCTATTATTTTTCAATTATGTTCACAGACTTGTAACAATCCACACAACTGAGTCCAGAAAAGTTTGTGTACTTTCTTGTTTCCCCACATCTAGACTAAAATAAAATTCAAGCTTGTTTTACCAGTATTTGGCACACTTATATAAAATAATGTGTCATTTGTCACCATGGCTTGTAATCCGAAAAATCTGATTGGGGAAATGATGGAAACCAAAATAGCCATTACAGTCTGTGGGTGGCTAAAAAAGCTGCAGCTATATTCCACAACATTCCTCCACTGCCATGATTTGTTTCTGGAGAGCTCATGACAGTCCGTTTGAAACTCACATAGACCCAAAAAGAGACATGGGGGCTTGTCCAGGATGGAACTAAATACACTCATACTTGCAGATTTAAATCACTTGGATATCACAGGATATTCGCAATTCTATGAATTCTATGTGACCTTTACTTTGAAATTCTAAGATTTTCAAATCATCTCAAAGCTTGGAGAATTTAGACCCATCTACATTGAAACTATACAGCAGAGAGCCTCAAGGAAGCTACAGAGTTAAACTTTCCCTAATCCAAAATCTTGCATGCAGCCTGTACATCATCTTCAGTACCGCTGTTATTTATGCCAGTCTATAACTGGTTTGCATCTCATTGACGTGTATTTTTAATCTGTAAAGTAATTTAGATAAAATTATAAGAAAAGATTTTAACTAGTTTCAATGAAATTATCTGTGTTATCTGCCTTAGTAATTAATTTATTGAAATCAGTTACCATGAATTAGAAAAAGACAAGTAACAAATTGCAGGCTATAAATAGCATAATCTAAGAAAATAATCAACTAATTTTTTTCTGTATTATCTTCACTAAAAAAGCATGTGTTTTTATGCACAAATAATCATTTTTCTATTCTAAATAAAGATAAAATTGCCCTCCATATGTTTATAAATAAATTTTACACATTACAATGTTCAAAACACTTTTTCCCTTGGGAAATCAAATAGGTGATAAAAGACCAGTATCGTTCAAAAATAACTAGCTAAAAGGCTGAGGCATTTATAAGTCTTCATGAAAAAGCTGAAAAAAATAACTGAGTATATAGAAGAATTTATTCAACTTCACCATTTTTTTTGAGGTGGTATGGGACCTCAAAAAAATATGGGACGGAATTCAAATACAAAATGTCATCTTCAAATGGTGTCATTGATTATATTATTTTAAAATATATGTGGGTACAGCTAAAAAAATATTGCTGTGTTCCTGTAATTAAAGATCATTTGCACATACTTATTCAAGACCATTTGTGTTGGAGTAAGGCTGTTACAGATAGTCCCTTGCAGATGGGTGGTAGAACTCAGTCATGCCCAAGTGTTCTCCTGTGGAAGAATGGGGAGCGCAATGACTATTTAATCAGAAATGCTTCCAGACAGCTGGGTAGTCTGTTCACACTCACTCTTTGCTCCCAGTCAGATAGACAAACATCAGCTGCTTCTGTGGCTGCAAAAGAAATGGGATATGGTGCTGTTTATGGATGGAAGAGGCAAGCTCTCCTGGCACAGAGAGATATGGGTCAGATGGAAGGCATGGTGATGGTGGTTTGACTGTTGGGCTACATGATCTACGTGGTCTTTTCCAACCTTAATGACTCTATGATTTTATGATTCTGTGATGTGTGATCTGATATTTTCTCACATCACTCTCACTGGCCCAGTTTTCTAGGGCGCAATGCACTTGGACTCTTCTCAGCCCCCACCTAATTCTATGCAGTTCTTTCTCTCTTTTCAGCACAGCCTGCCTTACCTCTAGGCCACCTTGATTAGCTGTCTCTCAGGAATTGCATTGTTTGTCACCTGGTTAGGACATGCATTTTC